TATAATTATTTGGTTTGGCTATGTGATAAATATTGGATTTAAATTAATTTCGAGAAGTTTCGAGTTTGTTCTCTACAAATATTAGTGATCATGCATCAGCTTCCCAACATAAGCCATCCATCATCTCAATGCGTTCCATGGTTGATGAGTTAAATATGTGAACATCAACATCCTTAAGGATAAATGAGGCAAAAAAATGCGTAGCATTAATTTACTTGGATTCTAGAAACTGATAGAGAGACGTATTGTATCAATGAAAAAGCGATTTGTCGGGCAAAGATTTCACAACTTCTTCGCGCGGCTGTAAAATTCGAATATGAAACATTTGAAAGAACTCTGCAACAAATTTTGCCAATTGGTGTTGAATTCAAAGTATTCTTATATCTGAAATTCTTTCACTTAATTTTGACCGATTATAACTATCAATTTCAACGACATTCTTCTCAAATTTTTGAGTCAAAAGTAGATGGAAATTCGCTAAAAATTTATTGCTAAGATTTACTGCCACAAAACAATAGTGAAGCAGCAAAGTTGAGTTGCAAGATAGGTTTAGTACTTTTACCGTAATCTTCATTTGGGTCTGCGCTTTATCTGAATTTCAGGAGGAATATTTAGAAGGGCTTGCATTCATTAATAATGAACTGGCAACTGGAAAAACAATTCGTTATTTGAACGTTGAAGATTTGCCTGAAGACCCAATTAAAAGGTTAGCATATTTAATTTATAGCAGTTTGTCGAATTAAATTTAGGATCATTAGTTTTCAAACTGTTATGTACAACAGTATTAAATTACACTCGATCTCTCACGTTCATGATTTCACTACTTAGGAGGAAGAGATTGGTAATTCATTCTGGGATTCAGTTTGGAATATTTTCATGGAATTTAAAATTAACTACTGTAATTGAGTTTCAACTGTTATATTTAGTTACAGATTCTGTTGTGTTCTATACTCACAAAGAGTTTCATGTTATACTATATTTTAATAAATCAATTTCTGTAGGCTAAAATTACTATTTTCTCTTCGACAGTCTTGGGAAGAATCGGCTATGCAACAATATCTCAATGATCTTTGCCCCACAAAACGACATTTAAATGAACTTTTAATGAATTGTTGCCGACAGACAACCACTGTTAATGGCGAAAAATTGCTGGTTGGTTTAAAAGAAATGTTGTTGTAATTTTGAAATTCTTTCAAAATTGGTTCATTTTCACATATTTCTATTTTTCACACAGAGCTTTTAAAAGGAAAATCCATAGCTCAACCTAGTTCATCTCATTAAAAAAAATTACTCCAACATTTTTGCATGGTATATTTTTTTGATATGTTTGATCATAAAAAATCTGCAAGAAATCAGATTAATTAACTTGAACTATTTGCATATATGATCTTTCGTTACCATAGAAATAATTATTTCTTAAAAAATAATGAGCAACAACATTCTTGCTTGATGCTGTATTTTGTTGGTTGATTATTTATGTCATCATTTTTGCTAATCACAAAAAAGCAATTTATTGTTAGAGAAGAGAAATGTATCACATAAAACAATACAACTTAATCATTACAATTTCTTTATTCTATACCACTCTGACAGTGTGTTCATTAACGTTATCTTCTATTACATCGCGCTTTCTTTCCTAAACTTTTAATTATCGTTTTATTCATAAAATTATTAAATTAAAGCATGAAAACTAAAGCGCATTTTCATGTTATTATCAGCCAGAAAATGTTTTCCTTTTCCAGCTGATAGCATGATCACTGCATTAGAATTTTTTCCCCAATGAAGAACTCAAATGAATTTTCGAATTTAAAAATTTCCGAATATTTTCAATTATTTCAAAAATGTTTTTGCGTTTCATCTGAAATAGCATTTATATGGATGAATGGTGTAGTAGACATACTCGATCTGTTCACTTGATTTTTGTTCTAATGCTTTGGATCCTGGTGAGCCAACGTTTGTATCACTAGAATTAAGTAATATTTTGGAATTAGTTGGAAAGTGAATTACAAGTAGCAGATTTTTTGGTAAAAATAAATTTTTGAACTTTTCGAAGACAATGGATTAGAATAAGATAGGATTCGATGGATGGCCAGAGATTTCAATGTCATGATATCTCTGGCATATCTAAAATTATCGTTCAAAATTTTGTATTAACATTACTTTAAGGTCATAGAAATTTGGAGTCATTTTATGTATTTTAAATTAGAGAAAAATAAGGTAATGAAACAATGTTTGGATGAAATTAATTTTTAAATAAAATAATTTTTTTACTCAATATATATATTTTTGCCAACTTTTCGCATTCCATATGCAGATGTATTTGGTATGGTTGAATTCTCCCTGCTTAGCTCACTTTCTTCAAATGAGTGTAACCAAAATGATTCATCTTGAAGTGAACAACACATTTACTGAGTAAAATTTTGAATTTAATTTAAATTAATAATTTTAAATCAAGTTATCCAATGTTGTAAGACTTCATTCATTTTATAATTAATTAAAATTTAAAGATAATCATTTTTCTTTACTGGATTAATCGCAGAAATGTAAATATGGCCTTATCATGATAAGATTGGGCATGACTGATTAGACCAAAAAATTATTATATAATTTATATATATTTACCATCATTTATTCGTTTCTGATTGGATTGTGTCATGCTTGGATAGGCTGGAAATTCTCTGGTCACTTTACTTTTTAATTTTTCAAATTCTTTTATATCTAAATTAAGTGAATAACAACTTTCAGCTATACAACTATTCATCGGGAGAATTCCATCCCTGTCTACCACCATTTCGAAATGTCTGATTTAAAATGGATAATTTGGTATTAAAAAAAAATATATAGTTCTTCATAAAACCAAGCTAAGAATGTAATCTTTGAGAATAAAATTGCATCTCCCTGCGTTAACAGTTATTTATTTTCTTGCCACCTCGACAGTAATTCTAATTTTTATTAACAATGAAACTGTCAATAATACCTAGTGACTGTAAATATAATTTGGCATTAGGAATAGTGGGCATTTTAATAGTTTCAAAAATTCACTTTTTTCTTCAAATTAAACTATATGAAAATTTGGAAGTAAAAGTACCATTTTTAGGAACAGGAAGAATAATCTTGTCTTCTTTAGATGAATTAAGAGAGACCGTTTGATGCTTCTCATAATCAGTTGAATTATGATTCCTATAATTATAACAACGGTTATTTTGAAAGAAAGGAAGATAAAAACCGAACATTTTAACAAATTATGAATAATAATGATGTGATTACTTTATCGGTTTTTCATAATATTTATGTTTGTTCAAATTTTGTTTGTTTTCGTCAGCTTTCATAACTATTACTTTTTCAAGTGATAAAGATCGTCCCCTCTGAAATAAGCGTATATTTCAGATGCGATAATTTATGATTTTTGTTTTTTATCATTGCTAAAATTTTATCCGAATTGTTCGATTACTAAATATCGCCAGATTTTAGCCATCGTGGCTAATCTCCGAAAAGTAAAGTAATCAAAATGATAAAATTTTAACATTTAGCGCTCTATTTAAAACAAACCAAAATTATTGCTCAGCAAATATAAATTGAAAGACAAGGAAGTGAGCTAATATTCTAATTCATTAATATAAGAAGTTCAAAGAGATCTATTAATAATCAAGGCTATTGATTTAGATCAACTGATTATGATGAGCTAATATTCTAATTCATTAATATAAGAAGTTCAAAGAGAAGATCTATTAATAATCAAAGCTATTGATTTAGATCAACTGATTATCGTCTACTTCCGGATTCATTAGAGAGCATTACTTTTAAAGTATTACTTTTAAAGCATTACTTTTAAAGTATTACTTTTTTTTAGAGCATTACTTTTAAAGTGCTGTCATTATTGTACTTTCAAGAAACATTAACTTAAATCCATGTTATGGTAATATTATTAAGTAAATGTTATTTATTTTCACAACATTCATTATTGCGAAAATTTTAATTCACTTTTAAACTTCGTGAAATTTTATTCCTTTTCTTGTGACTTCCAGAAAAATATCGTTTTCTGAATATGTGATTTGAAATTGAGACTTCAATTCTTACAATGACTAACTTCTGAAATGTCCAGAAATGTAACATACCACCCGTTCAGCCTGATCAATTTTATTCTTGATCTTGAACTGGCAAAGCGCAAGTACAATGCGCAAAATGACAAAGATCAGGGTTATATAGGTAAGTGTTGTTAGCACTAAGGCTTCCATATCGAAATTTTCCACCATTATTGACCTTAATGTAAGCAATTGTCTGATAAAAAATAAATGAATTGTTAATCGGTGAATAATTTGTTTTGTTAATGAACTATAAAAGAATAAATGAAAACTATAAAAGTAAAATATAATAATAAAGTAAAGGTTTGGATCCTTTGATTGGATGGTTCGAAAGTTTTCGATTGTAATAAAGCAGAAAGAACAAAATCAATGATGCTTGTGCATATTAAGTGGAAGAGTTTTCTTGCAAGGAGAAATTTTGTTGCAAAATTTTAAGTTATCTGTGATTTAACTTATCTGTGATCTTGAAATGAGTAATATGTATGTGAAATTTATGGCAAATGACTAATGCTACAGTTTTGTGGCAGATCATTAACGATGTCTTAATAGAACGAATTTCATTTTTCTCCGATCTTATAAGTTTTCAGAACTCTAACTCGAAATCCTTAACATCAAATGAATTGAATTCTACCATTTTCACATTTTTAAAGCGCAATTTCTCTTTAAAATCCTTGAAATAAATTTGCATTTAGCGTTAAGAAAATTTTGAAATAAAATTTTGGAAAGCGAAAACAATTTTTATTTTGAGAACTAAGTCTGAGAAGAAGCGCACAATTCAACCGTCGAACTTACCGAAATATTGAAAAATGTCTAATATTTTGCTTTCTTCAATTTTTATTATTATTTAATAATATGTGAAACTTTAAAACAAATTTTTGCATGAAAATTAAAATTGTCCTCATAAAGAAATCAATCACATCTGCATTAATTGTAATTAGAATAAAAAATATGTACGTGTAATTAAGACTAGAATTTTGCATTACTACGGCGTTTTTCCAATCATTTTAATTTTATAAAGATAGATGGAATATAATTTGCTTATTTTTTCATGAAAAGATAATTTAATCGGAAAGATTCGCGAAATGTTGAAACGGCTGTATTTTATATTCGTTGAGCAATTATTTCCACTTCATAGATATTTTCGCAGAAAATTTCATGTATGAAAAAAATCTTTAAAATTTCATCAAAATTAGCAAAAAAAAAATGTTAAAAATGCATGATTTGTTATCTAATGAAGGAAATTGTAGTGAAATGGTGTTTGCAATTCAGTTTGATCTTCGGTAATGACACATTTCCGATGACATGAACTAGCATTTGATATAAATTAACAAATCAATATATTCATTATGAATTCAATTACGTATTGATATTGTACAATAATTTTTTCTAACAAGTTTCTAAAATTTGACAGGCAAAGGATATAATTGGCAAGAGTGAAAAGGTGAAAACAAAAAAAATTCTTCTTGTGAATTAGTCGATTAGCTAATCAAATTGATTGTAAACTATTCAAGCTTTCCTTCTCTTTTTTGTAAAAAGTAAAAATTTCGAAACAAATTAAACGAATGAAAACAAAATGATTTCAGCTGTAAGCATCAAAAGGCCATTCAAGTTAAAAATTTTATTGCATTTCCTAATGAAACAAAATATAATTTACAAAATCTAATAAAAGATGGGAATTTTGTTTTGGAATTAACATTTTAATGATGAAAAATATTCTCTTCCTTTTTTTCAAATTTCCTATGAATAGAAGGAATAAATAATAATTTTTGAAATATTCTTTGAATAGCAAAAAATCTGATGGTAAGCAATTTTAAATAAATTGAGCCCATATTTGTTTTTAGATGAAATTATCAAATGGATGAGATAGGTAATTGAAATGAATAGAATTCCAATTACCTTAAATGTTTATCTTCTATGATAGCAATAAAAATAATTGAATATGAAAATAATAGGAGAAATAACGATATCAATTATTTCAAAATTTGATATAATTATTAGAACAATAACAAAAGAGGAAAGAATACAATATGAGTTAACTGATAAACATTTTGCAGTCTATTTTTTTGAAATTTCACAAAATAATGATTATTTTATACGAAAGAGGCTAAACTTCCAGTTGATTAAATATTCATTTTGCTTTTAATTATTTTGCTTTAATATGTTAAAAAATTTGCTGATTTCATGATGACAAAGTTACAATTTCTTTTCTAAAATATTAGATTTGATTTTAAATTAATCTTTAAATGGATTTGCTTGATTTCAATATTATAAAACGAATGTAATGGATTGGACCGACTTCAAAGAATTTTAATTATCAGAAAATTCACCGATATTTACTAATTAGCATCAAGGGCCATTTTTTGTTTTTATTGAAATTCCAAAAAGAATTGGACAAATTATAAGTTTAGTTTAACATGAAAATAATAGCATATGGCACCAAAAGGTGTGTCATTTTTAAAATCTCTAATATTTTTTAAATCAATATTCATTGGTTCTAAAAATATGACAATTATAGTAATCATCGCATTATTTTTGAAGCAACTTTCCATCCTATCATAAATAAAATTAAGTAAAGCTTGATGATATACGAACAATTATTGATCGATCGTTTCAATCCATTTCAATTCCTATAAAAATAATTGAAATATAAAGTAAGTTTTTTGAATTTATATTTGCATATTTTCTATTTACAAATTTAATAATTAGTTTTCATGTAATTCCTTCCTTGCTCATTACTAAACAGTGTTAAATATACAATTTACTTTCTAAATACATTTTTCCGTTTGTAGTCCTAACTTCTGGCGAATAACAGTTTATGTTATATGAATGCTGTTCAGCCTAAAAAAGTTGGAAAATTTGAAATATCATCATTATCAGTCTAGTTTATGCTTGATAGTGTCTAATCATTACACTATCAATATGATATATCCTAATAGCAAGCTTGTAGCAAAAAAAATTAATCTTTGATTAAAATTATGAAACTATTGGAAAGCATACCTTTTGTTGCCAAAAATGGCACCATAAATTGTTTGAGATAATGAGTCAAGATCGATGACAAATGGATTCGATGATTTTATTGAACTTAAGGTTGCTGATTGCATATCTAAGAAATGAAATTAAGTTATTTTTCTTCTCTCCTGATGGACTATCATTTAATTTAGAACAAAGTAATCAAGTTCAAGGAAGCAGTCTATTCAAAATTTTTCTTTCATTTTTAAAATATTCCATTAACAAAAAGTGGCAAAATATTCAATAAATTTGTTCTGTCTTACTTTATCTTTTCTAAAACTGATATAAATACAAAAATGAAATTAAATTCTTAACCTGAATGCTGCGGTTGTAATGCTTTTTGTTGCCATTGTTGCTGTGGGTATTGTTGTTGTTGTTGTTGTAAATATTGTTGTTGTTGCGTGGGATATATCAACTGTGCAGGATTTTTGGTGATAAATGACTTTGATGCGTGGGTCGAATAATAGGGAACATTTTGTTGTTGATGTTGTAGAGGTGATATCTGTTAATTTAATTAAATAATGCACAAACTAATTCCTAAAATCGAAAGGAAAAAGTGATTGTTTGGTTTTTTATTTTCAATTTTATCTCATGCAATTGTCTTACTACCAAACGACACAGGCACAAACACAATTTTAATATCACAAAATTCCAATTTTCCGAAATTTATAGTGTTTTTAAATTTTGACAAAATTTATAATAAATTGTGCAAAAATGACTGAAATTTGATAATAAGCGATATGAAAGCAAATGAATAAACCGGATGAATAAGCAAAACTACAGATAAAGAAATAAGTGAAAAATTACGAGTTGCTTGCAAATGGAATTGCAAGATATTTTGATATCAGTTCTTATCAGCCAAAACTCTCATCTTCTATTTTTTATTGTTACTCCCGAAGAGTATATCAGTGAAAATTAATTATTCGAAATAATCGAAATACTTACAGGCAAATGAGAATTCAATGGTCGTAATCCACTTGTTGCGCCATTATTATTGTAAATATCAGATGCATATGCTCGCTGCTGATAAAATTATTTTTAAAAAAATCACAAAAAATTAAAAGATTCTCTCTCTAAAATTTTATGCTCATCAAAGTATTACTTAATCAAGCTACTGTTTAATCAATCCTAAATTACTATTTAATCAAGCTTAAAAGTATTCGACATGTGCAAAGAAATAAATTTACATTTCTACTGGTTGAAAATTTCGAAGTGTAACTTTGAACAATTAGCATACCAATTGGTGGAGTGTTTGTTGTTGTTGATCATTTGGTGCTTTCGCCTGAACAAAAATGAATAATTATGAATAAATAAGCTATCATTGAAAGCCAAAGTGCAAAATTATTAATTATGCCATCTAAAACGAATACAATGAAAAATAAATTATGGAAATGATCAAATTCTTAAAATTACTAAATATCATTATAATTAATTCCTTTTTTGATCTTTTTCAAAATGTATTCGCTATTTTAAGCATTGTACTGCAGTAAATGAAATGTTTGAAGAAATTAAGGTTGGAAAAAGAATGTTTACATATAATTGTCCAGTGATTTGACATAGTATATCAACTAACCTGTGATTGATTATATGCAGCATTTCGAGCCTGAAATTAATGGATAAAATTTGAAATCAATTTGTCGTCTTTTTTCCTTATTTTTTTGTCAAAAAAGATAATCAAGTAATTGAATTTTTTTCACTTCATATCCTATCTTTATTTTCATATTAATGTCTAAGCCACAAACACGCTCATTTTCCCAAAAATGATCATATTCTTCCACTTCTCGAAGATATGCTTCATCTTCAGGGTCACGTATCGGACTCGGTTGCTGTTGTTGATGATATTGTAGATATTGTTGCTGTTGTTGATATTGTAGAGGTTGTTGTTG